CGCGCGCTCAGAACAAATCTGTTTCTCTCAAGGTTGTATAGTGATTCAAATTTGAAAGGAGGGGTCAGTTCAAAAACCGGTGGACGCTGAACTGTAAAAGCCTAGCTCTCTGTATATACATGTATATATTTTTGGACTGCTGCTGGTGTAATTCAGTGTCAATTATAAAGTGCTTTTCCTCAAGTCGTGTTCTGCTTCTTCGCTCTACCCTGCGTGCTTGATCTGTATAATTGTTTGTGTTGTTCTATTACAGCTGTATGGCTGAAGAGAAAGTAAAAGTTGGTTGTCGTGTTAAAATAGCATCGAAATCCGTTTTTGGGACCGTTGCTTTTGTCGGAATAACACAATTCTCACCAGGTAAAAAATTTTTGTTCTCATCGTGGACTTAGGAAAATGGGTGGGTATAATACTAGACGAGCCCAAAGGGAAGAACAACGGCACGGTTCAGGGGAAACGCTACTTTAGATGTGAGGAAAATTTTGGTATATTTGTGCGCCCATCTCAGGTATGTTTTATTTTAAACGGTTTTATGCATTGCTTGCATCTCTCTATGTGTCAGCTAATGCATATTATAAGAAGTCTTTACTATCAGGGGCTCCATAATATCTTTCTCATCAATTTCGCATTACCCTATTTAGCTTTTTCAGTCCTTGCACTCCGTATTTATATCAGATTATAAAAAGGTATTCCCAGCCCCATGAAACTGGATTCCCAACTGAATATTTAGTCTGCTGGTATTCTTACTCTGCGTGGAATTATATTGTAGCATTGTTCAGACCTACAGGCACACTTAGTGGAACCTAGGCGAAGTTAAACTATCATAACCAAAATTACGGTGACTTTGGGCAACCAATCAGAATTCAGATGAAAACAAGTCGCATAATCTGTGGAAAATGCATTAATGCACATTGTGAATACGATATTACACTGAATAATTGTCGCTTATGTGTTGTAAGGATGTCTCCCAGTCGCTAACCGGACAACCTAAAGAGAAGTCTTACCATGCGTGATAGATTTTTTCATCCAGGTGAATGTTGATCGTGATACTTTGAAATCCACTGATGTTTCTGACACTTCTTTAACCTACACCTAACTGTAACCGTAATCTTAAAAGCCATAACCGTAGCATACCTGCAGTACAGATTCACAGAAAAAGTACTTGGGGAATAAGTAGAATACTGTATCTACTCTCGCCAAATTCTAAACGGTAAGCATGATTTGATTTCGAATGACATTTCCGTAAATCTGATTGGTTCTTGGATGTCCACTTTTGACAGACCTTGACTTTGGCTGTGATACGTTAACTTCGCCGGGAACTGAATCCAACTGTAGTCTCCAGCCTATAGAGCTTATGACACTAGAGCATCCAAAGGGCTTAATCAACATGATGTCGGGACTTACTGTCATTTCTGTCGAGTAGTTGTTTCGCAACATTTCCTTAGAAGGCGATAACTTTTATGCTTGCTCAGCCTTTGCTTCAATATGCACCAGGCAGTCGATTTTCTTCCTTACTTCCAATTGTTAGTCTCAGCCATACCTTAATATCTTAAAGAACAGACAGAGTGCGCCCCCTGAAGAATATACTGCTAAAACATTGTCTATCCAATGGTTTGTGAGACTTTAGGAATGTGTGCGATATATTCCTTGTTTTCTAAGAAACTGGACTTGGTGCTCATTGGCTTTAGATCTTGCCTTCAAGCCAGTGGACACCGGGCTCTAATCCCATTTCACTTACTGCAACCTGAGCAACTGATTAGTATCAGAAGCCTCTACATAATGCGTAATTCGTAGGTGGGTACATTAAATATGTTTTCCGGGTAGTTGGGTTCTTCTAAATATAATTCCTCACTCCCGCAAATGTTTGAACCGACACTTATTTCAACTTTAGAAAGTCACTTTGTTATCAATTGGTGAAATGTGAAGGCCGTCTCATTTTCGTTATCCACTTCTTTAGTGAAATATCTGTATACCTATTAGGCGTCAAGAATATATCAGTATGCGCCGTTATATTATCCCAGTGTTTAGTCATCAGTGTTGAGTCTGCAAAGATTACATTCATTTATTCTACACACCACCTCTTTTCTTTGATAGAAAATTAACTGTCAATCGTCTAAATTGGTTTTGTCATTTGTTACGCCTACTTACCACCTACCATGGCTTGTTGAGTCAAGGGTGGCCGTATCCGTACCCAGCCAATGAATGAATTCATGACTGTTAGTCCAATTAGTTTGGAAAAGTGCAACTTGCTTGCTGTGGTCGAAATGACTACCAAAACTCGTGACTAAAGATTGTGGGTGATTGGGATCAAAATAAATTATACAGACGCAAACGTATTCTCATCTTTTTATTTTAAATGTGTTGTCACATACTTTGTTTCTGTCCTTTTATTTCACAATATTTAACCACTTCTGATTACATTGTTAACATCACTTCTCTATTCGCATTCTTATTACCTTACATTTATATATATATATATATATATACATGAACCATCATACAATCATGCAACTCCTTGTATTAATAATGGTAGGATAATAGTAATATGACTCCATTCAAATACTGTATAGTCCAATATCCAGGACATATTTTAATTCTCTTGTCCCGCATTGTGCCATTTTTCTGTTTTATTATGTTAAGGACTATTTACAGTGTTTGTCTTTGAGTGATATTATGAAATGTGTCAGGTGGTTCTGCGATGATTAGTTGAGAATGCGAACCGTAATAAGTTTTCTCCATTTTGTGTAAGTCAATTCTTGTTTTTCCCGTTGATTAATTGAACGGAAATGTTTGGCTTCTGTCGACATGCGGCTCTGAATGTGGACTATCCGATGATGTCTGAGGATCAACAGTGATGTTATTTGCTGCCGAAGTGGCTTAGTGGTTAACACTGGCGTTTGAAACGACGGGGACTGGGTTTGATTCTCAGCAGAAATACCATCACACACACTGGAGATTGCAGTTACCTCTAGATGACGAGTCCTAAACGAGAGGGAACGTACTTCCGGGATTCCACTGATAGTCCCTATACACCAAATAACATGACAGATATGAGTCTGGAGTTTGTAACAAAGTAAATTAACTAATATTTATTGTTAAATTTGACTCATTGAATCCAGCGTCCTTTGTTTTATCTCTTTGTTCGGCAGGTAAATATTTTAGTCCAATGTACTGGTCCCCTAAAAGTATTAATTAGATTTCATTCGCAACAGTAGTATATATTTTGTTGTACTTTATTCAGGTTGTGTCCAAAAATATCGATCGTGAATGCATCTTGCAATTAAAGAATCTAATTTATTTATAAAGAAGCAACCTCTATCTTCTGCTTAGAGGAAAGTGAATCAGTAGAGAACAAGCCTTTGCGAATGATTGAAGCTGAATTTCATGACAAGCACTCATACGAAAGGTCCAGTTCTGAAATAGATAAAGAGGTTCTGAAGGCAACCGATAGGGAGATACGATTGCGGAACGGACATCATGAAGTTCCATTGACTTGGAAAGAGGACTGGCGTAGATTACCGCCTAATAGGTTTGAGGCAGAACGCAGGCTGGACAGTCTTCAGAAGAAACTGAAAAAGGACGAAAGCCTATTAAAGTCCTACAATCAAATACCAACAGACCATGAGTGGAAGGGTTACATTAGTCGCGTTCCTGACGACTTCTCCAAGAAACGTAGATTTATCCCTCACCACCCAGTTATAAATCCCCGCAAGCCTGGTAAAATAAGAGTGATTTTCGATAGTGCCTTTAGTTTCTTATGGTATTCTGAGGGTAGACCGGACTTACCACCGAGCCTATATCAATTAAACGTACATCCCTTCGGTGCTGCATCATCACCTTTTTTGTGCAGCCTATGCTTTAAAACGAGCCACAATTGACGTTAGTTTATGTGGACGTTGTTCACGACGATGGAAACAAGGGCAACTCCTTGCCGATACGTTTTGGAGACGGTGGAAGCGGGAGTACTTGACGACTATACAATCGCGTGCAAAGTGGGTTCAACGACATCGGAACTTACAAGTGGGAGACCTAGTACTAGTGACTGCGGAGCCTTCACCTCGCAATCTTTGTTCAATGGGAATAATTACAGGTATTACGGCAAGCTGTGATGGGTATATCAGAAAAGTGGATATCAAGACACCGAGGGGTATAGTCAACCGAGATGTGCGTAAGGTTTGCCTATTAGAAAATATTGAGGAGAGATAAGCACTTTGTAGGATATATAGCTGGATAGTGGATGCAGATGTGGCGAGAGTAAATTGTACCATTTCTGTGTCTTACTAGCAGGTAGAGTAGGTAAAACCAGGCTGGTTTTGAGGGGGCGGTGTTAATTCCTTTCCTACTTGTTCATTCTCAATCTTTCCTTTGTTCAACATTATACTACTTGCCATTAGTGTGTAGTGTGGATTTTATATGTTAATTTATAACAATGACATTTGCTTACAACTGCAGTTGAATTACTTCTTCTATTATCATTCTATCAATGTATAGTTCTTATTTTTCTTCTCCTTAAACATTATTTGCTGTCCTTACCCTATAGTGTATGCTTTCCTATTGAAAGTTGTTTGTTCATATTTGTTTATTCTTTGCTTGGCATTCGCGGGCCGTTTGAACCAACACGTGGATCGATCTTGACACAGCATTGCTGTTTTTACTTATTGACTGCACAGTGGTTGTGCATTTGACGGCATTTAGCCACAGATACCTCACATCTTGAGGTTTGTATATTATATATCTATTTTTATGTAATAAAGTACCGTATTGCAGAATATCCTGTATTTCGCACTTTACGCGTCACTCTACGTGTGGTTAAATCTATAATTTGGATTATCGTTTCGGATTTCTTTTGGGAGAAATTCACAACATGTATGTATTTTTTGGACTGCTGCTGGTGTAATTCAGTGTCAATTATAAAGTGCTTTTCCTCAAGTCGTGTTCTGCTTCTTCGCTCTACCCTGCGTGCTTGATCTGTATAATTGTTTGTGTTGTTCTATTACAGCTGTATGGCTGAAGAGAAAGTAAAAGTTGGTTGTCGTGTTAAAATAGCATCGAAATCCGTTTTTGGGACCGTTGCTTTTGTCGGAATAACACAATTCTCACCAGGTAAAAAATTTTTGTTCTCATCGTGGACTTAGGAAAATGGGTGGGTATAATACTAGACGAGCCCAAAGGGAAGAACAACGGCACGGTTCAGGGGAAACGCTACTTTAGATGTGAGGAAAATTTTGGTATATTTGTGCGCCCATCTCAGGTATGTTTTATTTTAAACGGTTTTATGCATTGCTTGCATCTCTCTATGTGTCAGCTAATGCATATTATAAGAAGTCTTTACTATCAGGGGCTCCATAATATCTTTCTCATCAATTTCGCATTACCCTATTTAGCTTTTTCAGTCCTTGCACTCCGTATTTATATCAGATTATAAAAAGGTATTCCCAGCCCCATGAAACTGGATTCCCAACTGAATATTTAGTCTGCTGGTATTCTTACTCTGCGTGGAATTATATTGTAGCATTGTTCAGACCTACAGGCACACTTAGTGGAACCTAGGCGAAGTTAAACTATCATAACCAAAATTACGGTGACTTTGGGCAACCAATCAGAATTCAGATGAAAACAAGTCGCATAATCTGTGGAAAATGCATTAATGCACATTGTGAATACGATATTACACTGAATAATTGTCGCTTATGTGTTGTAAGGATGTCTCCCAGTCGCTAACCGGACAACCTAAAGAGAAGTCTTACCATGCGTGATAGATTTTTTCATCCAGGTGAATGTTGATCGTGATACTTTGAAATCCACTGATGTTTCTGACACTTCTTTAACCTACACCTAACTGTAACCGTAATCTTAAAAGCCATAACCGTAGCATACCTGCAGTACAGATTCACAGAAAAAGTACTTGGGGAATAAGTAGAATACTGTATCTACTCTCGCCAAATTCTAAACGGTAAGCATGATTTGATTTCGAATGACATTTCCGTAAATCTGATTGGTTCTTGGATGTCCACTTTTGACAGACCTTGACTTTGGCTGTGATACGTTAACTTCGCCGGGAACTGAATCCAACTGTAGTCTCCAGCCTATAGAGCTTATGACACTAGAGCATCCAAAGGGCTTAATCAACATGATGTCGGGACTTACTGTCATTTCTGTCGAGTAGTTGTTTCGCAACATTTCCTTAGAAGGCGATAACTTTTATGCCTGCTCAGCCTTTGCTTCAATATGCACCAGGCAGTCGATTTTCTTCCTTACTTCCAATTGTTAGTCTCGGCCATACCTTAATATCTTAAAGAACAGACAGAGTGCGCCCCCTGAAGAATATACTGCTAAAACATTGTCTATCCAATGGTTTATGAGACTTTAGGAATGTGTGCGATATATTCCTTGTTTTCTAAGAAACTGGACTTGGTGCTCATTGGCTTTAGATCTTGCCTTCAAGCCAGTGGACACCGGGCTCTAATCCCATTTCACTTACTGCAACCTGAGCAACTGATTAGTATCAGAAGCCTCTACATAATGCGTAATTCGTAGGTGGGTACATTAAATATGTTTTCCGGGTAGTTGGGTTCTTCTAAATATAATTCCTCACTCCCGCAAATGTTTGAACCGACACTTATTTCAACTTTAGAAAGTCACTTTGTTATCAATTGGTGAAATGTGAAGGCCGTCTCATTTTCGTTATCCACTTCTTTAGTGAAATATCTGTATACCTATTAGGCGTCAAGAATATGTCAGTATGCGCCGTTATATTATCCCAGTGTTTAGTCATCAGTGTTGAGTCTGCAAAGATTACATTCATTTATTCTACACACCACCTCTTTTCTTTGATAGAAAATTAACTGTCAATCGTCTAAATTGGTTTTGTCATTTGTTACGCCTACTTACCACCTACCATGGCTTGTTGAGTCAAGGGTGGCCGTATCCGTACCCAGCCAATGAATGAATTCATGACTGTTAGTCCAATTAGTTTGGAAAAGTGCAACTTGCTTGCTGTGGTCGAAATGACTACCAAAACTCGTGACTAAAGATTGTGGGTGATTGGGATCAAAATAAATTATACAGACGCAAACGTATTCTCATCTTTTTATTTTAAATGTGTTGTCACATACTTTGTTTCTGTCCTTTTATTTCACAATATTTAACCACTTCTGATTACATTGTTAACATCACTTCTCTATTCGCATTCTTATTACCTTACATTTATATATATATATATATATATATATATATATATATACATGAACCATCATACAATCATGCAACTCCTTGTATTAATAATGGTAGGATAATAGTAATATGACTCCATTCAAATACTGTATAGTCCAATATGCAGGACATATTTTAATTCTCTTGTCCCGCATTGTGCCATTTTTCTGTTTTATTATGTTAAGGACTATTTACAGTGTTTGTCTTTGAGTGATATTATAAAATGTGTCAGGTGGTTCTGCGATGATTAGTTGAGAATGCGAACCGTAATAAGTTTTCTCCATTTTGTGTAAGTCAATTCTTGTTTTTCCCGTTGATTAATTGAACGGAAATGTTTGGCTTCTGTCGACATGCGGCTCTGAATGTGGACTATCCGATGATGTCTGAGGATCAACAGTGATGTTATTTGCTGCCGAAGTGGCTTAGTGGTTAACACTGGCGTTTGAAACGACGGGGACTGGGTTTGATTCTCAGCAGAATGCGGTCGGTCGGTCGGTCGGTTTTCGACATAGAACTTTGCACATATGTGCGGCAGTTCAAGTCGCCACAATCTACGTAGCACGCAAAGCAAGAGAAGAAAGTAGAAGAAATGCATAATATAGACAGTAAACAGAGGTGTGAGACAAAGGAATAGTAATAACGGAGAACAAAAGTTTAATTGGAAATCATAAGTCACAAGGAGTGGATGCATCTGCGCCACTGAGAACGATTTTGAGCCATGTCACCAATTGTTTCCAACCATTGGTTTTTACCATCCCGAGGGCCCCAACCAGGAAGTCTACATCTTCCTACGTGGCTTAGATTAACTGTTGTGGATTTCATTGATTGGTGCCATGTTTTGGTTTGACCGCCGCTAGCTCTTTTCCAGCCTGACCCTATATCAGCTAACATTGCCCGTCGAGGAAGGCGATGACTAGGCATACGTAGCACATGTCCTAACCTATTTTGATTTGACACTAGGAACTAGTGTTATGCGTCTAGTCCTCTCTTTGGTGAAGACTGAATTCTATCAGTCAGGTTGTAATGTGGCCACCATTCTAGGTAGCTCGCCATCACGGTGTACATAGTTTGTGATGATATTAGGTGATTGGAGGCAATCGGCAGGAAGCCTTGGACCTAGGTTTCGTGCTAGTTGGCACTCGTCAGCAAGGCGTATCTGCAACCTTGAAGGAACTCATGTCCCTTCTGAGATTCGAACCCGCGTCACCCAGTGCTGCAGTCAGAGACGTTACCACTGAGCTATTCGGGCTCGCGATTGACCTCCTGTAGGACTGTAGTAGATATTTTGATTTGACACTAGGAACTAGTGTTATGCGTCTAGTCCTCTCTTTGGTGAAGACTGAATTCTATCAGTCAGGTTGTAATGTGGCCACCATTCTAGGTAGCTCGCCACCGTGATGGCGAGTAGTGCAGTCCTTTCTCCTTTTCACTGATCCGTTCAGGCGGACAGCGCACATTCGGCTATCTACCGGGATCCAGTCAAGTAATGTCTTTTCTGCTCTAGTACTTAAAGCTATCCCAACACCAGCTAATCCTCGTGAGCTAGCCGTCGCATCTCCTGACACCCTCAAGGTGAATTTTGCAGATTCATCCTGTTGGCCAGGTGGGGTTAGGTGAATAACCACACTTGGGTCCTGTATGCGTGTTTCTGAAACACAACATACATCAATGGCTCGGGATGCCAGAGTCTTGGCTAGTGATGCTTGTTTTCCTATTTGGTAAAGTGTCCTAACATTAAATGCTCCTATATAAAATTGGTGGCGTGGTTTTAGGAGACAATCGGTGGTGGCTTTTTGGCTTCCCTCGTTATCAGTGCACACAGAGTGAAGGGGAAGTGAAGAGCCAACAAGTAGAGGAGTTGCATTGGTAGAAGGAAGGCAAGATAATAGAGATGAAGATGAAGACAAAGATGAGCGAGGATTAGAGGGGTTTCGCGTGCACTTCGGATTGTGAGGGCGATTGGTACTTCCCGGCTGCCCACACCGTGGAAGTTGGTTGCGTGACCGCAGAGCCCAGGGGACAACTGCTTGAGGCCGGTCACACACGGCCTGTTTTTGTTTGTTCTTTTTTATTTGGTGTGTCTCAGTAGCGTATTTATCACTTCTGCCCTGTGACACGGCAGCAGAAAGCGCGGTCGTTGTTAATCCGGGCCCCGACCGATCCGGCATGATATTTTGTGATTTATTTGAAATCATAGGATTGGATTGGGTAACTGCTTTTAGTCTAACTGCTATCCAAACAACCTTTCTGGCATGGTAGGACCTGCAGGAACATAAGTTCCAGCCAGTATAGCTTGTTGGGTCATTGCAGTGTTCAAGCCCGACCACCACGTCAAGGTAGCAGCTTTCGGTCGGGTCAGCAGAAATACCATCACACACACTGGAGATTGCAGTTACCTCTAGATGACGAGTCCTAAACGAGAGGGAACGTACTTCCGGGATTCCACTGATAGTCCCTATACACCAAATAACATGACAGATATGAGTCTGGAGTTTGTAACAAAGTAAATTAACTAATATTTATTGTTAAATTTGACTCATTGAATCCAGCGTCCTTTGTTTTATCTCTTTGTTCGGCAGGTAAATATTTTAGTCCAATGTACTGGTCCCCTAAAAGTATTAATTAGATTTCATTCGCAACAGTAGTATATATTTTGTTGTACTTTATTCAGGTTGTGTCCAAAAATATCGATCGTGAATGCATCTTGCAATTAAAGAATCTAATTTATTTATTCCTCCTTTGTTATCCAGCTTACTCTTCTAGATGGTCCGGAAAGATCAGACGTGATGAAGTTATCCGAATCAGGTGCCACTTCAGAATCAAAGGAAGTTACAAAACTTTCTGGTTCGACATCTTCGTTGTCTGTAGGATTGAAAACTCCTGAGACAGTTAAAGGTATTGAATGTTTTATTTTCTGCATGTTCGTCATTTATCTACTTCGTTTTGAATCTTATCACTAATATGTATAAAAGTAATGTAATGTAGCATTTTAACCCCAAGGGAGCACATAGTGTTATTTACATCAATAACATTATTTGTCAGCTGAAGTGATTTGTATGCTTACTTCATTTGTATTGCCTGATAAAGGAGTTAGAAGTTTTGCTACACTCAATTCATTACCCATTTATAGATGGTGATACTAAACAGAAAACTGTCTGTTGTATGGAAATTAATGTCATAGCTGAGATGCTCATGCCTCCCATCTGAACATTCTATAAGATGCTATTAACCACGTTAGCTCACAGGTTGCGAAACAAGTCAATCAACTAAGGTAGAGACACAGGCACATCGTGATAACAATTTCATCGTATTTTATTATCAGTCATTTATAACTTGGATAAACATTTCACTTTTTTTCTTCAGTGTTATCGGCTTTACTCTAATCGCAGAACTGTCAACTGACATTGTGCTCATTACTTTTCAGGAGCTATTGTGGTAACTATCTCCATACTTGTTGTTCATGTATTTTGAGAAGTCATTTTATATACTTCAAGGTAGTATTTAGGCATCTACTGAATGAGTTCATCAGTCCAGTTGTTAGCGCCAGATGTCCGGATTCGCCCTTTCAACCAGGCAGCTTAAAGGTAGTAAACATGAATTACGTAATCAAAGGCTATAAACGCGTAAGCACATGAGACGACTTCTAGAGGAAGACTGAAGTCTACCCACCGTCGACCGTACCAGGTCGTTAATTGTAGCCGTATACCAAACTGAAGCTGATCAATTCGTGTCAGATTTATCAGCAGGGAATCACGTAAATAAGCTAATACTGTCAGTGCGTGACATTACTCAAAACTCATTTTTCAATTCTGAGGATAAAGATTAACTGATTGGTAAAGAAGAATATGTAAAAATATAAAAGGTCACCCTTCTTATAGAATAATTTTATTTGGGGAGAAAAACAGTGATGCAACATTTTTTACTGATGACGTTTCGACAACAATTTATTGCTTACAACTATATCAAGGCACTCACATAACTTTTAAACTTCGTTTATGTAATTCTATTATTTCTTATCCATATCTCCAGTATACCAGCGTTACGTTATTCCTACTCATGTGTTACCTATAGATTAAATGAAGAAAAATTCAATGCTCGATTTCTCTCTCCACCTATTTATATTACTTTTTAGAACTGTAGCTCTCTCCCCATTGTATTGTGTGATTTTCATTTTTGTGAAGTCCATCATTTCACACTAAGCCAAATTCGTATGCTCCAATAATCTGACCAAACAACTGGTCTTACAGTTGTAGTTGATCTCACAGTCACTGCAGGTCATTATATTGATTAAATAGTTTTGTCTAATAGGGTCCCTTAATCTCTGAGTTACTTTGTAGGTTTAAATTCCACCCTAATTCCTGCCTTGTTATGAATCCTACGTCGAGTTATTTTATCGAATGAAATGATCCCATGATATGGAATTATACTCTGTTCCTACATCAAGGGCAACTGCGTTTTCTTGTCTAGAAATTCGCCAACATTTTTCTCTTACTTAAGGAGATAAATTACTAGACATTGCGTTCCTAGTTACTTATTGCATTCTACGTTGTTATCTCTCTTTCTCTTTCTTGTGGAAAATACCCGGTGAAGTATCAGTCGGTGTTGAAGGCGGTTCAACTCTCTTACAGTTTAAAAATCTTGAACAACAAAATGAACGAATGAAAGGAGCACTGGTCAAGCTACGTGATTTGGTTAATCAAGATAAATCGGAAATTTCAGCTTCAACTAAACAGGTAAATTCCTGCTTAATAATTTTTATGTATGATGCAGTGAGCAAAGAAAGAAACTCGATGAAGGTAAAGTTGTAATTTTGATGTTCTTGCGTTCTTTGAGCTGGCTGATTTTAAAACTGCGAAACTTTCATGTTCCTTCCGAACAACATCTTCAGTACAAGCTTTTTATCAAAGCGCATCGGGTGCAGGGTTCTAGTCTGAGTGGAACACCAGCATACGTACGTCCAGATGATGAATCTCAAATAGGACGAAGTGCTCATCCTACATTCCTCTGCTAGTCACTGTTATCATAGTAAAGGTTTTTCTAACTTATGAGATAAGTAGTGAATGCACTCAACTTACCAATTCAATATTTCTAAACTTATTAATATTCTGTACACCAATCAAGTCTACTTTTAAGAACACTAAACAGGCTACCAAAAGTTATAAATATTAATGGAGCTGTATAGCTGAGTATTGTGAATTCTTCACATATTGGCTTCAACTGTGTTTTGAATTTCGTTTATTCTTCCAACTCTTCTTTTAACATCAACTCACTCATAGACAATATCAAAGTTTACAGTTAAGTCTGAGATAACAGTTTGTCTGAGTGGGAAAATAAAGCCTAAAAGTGAATGGTCGAGCAAATGGAAGTGATGAATGATGTGATAAGAGTTATTTACCTCTGTTGTCTTACGATTTTTGTGAAGCTCGAAATGTTATGGGGACAGTCCAAATCTGTGACCTAAAGTCCAATTCGAAAATAAGCAAAGCAATGTCATGATGCATTTTATCTTAATTTTGGTAACTAAGTCAAATCTGTAAGCTATTTTTACCTGTACACATTCTGTATGGAATCAAGGCGTTTTAAACTCGTCACATGGTACCCCATATTCACCAAGCCTTCATTTTTGTGGCAAAATTTCTTCCACAATATAATGCTGTTAGTAGGACGCCCGTGTAAACTCTATGAAAATGTGTCTATTAGTAAGGTATTTCGAGAAGGTTAGATCAGCTGAGATTCTTTGGTTGTACTTGGTGCATTTAACCGCCATTTATCGCTGATTTATTGTTATTGTCTATTATATCTGTAACGGCCAGTTAGATCAGTTCACTCTTATTGCTTTCTTTAAACTAGACGACTAATGGTAGTAGTAAGGTTTTCACCATCACAATGAACTATACAGTCAGAAAATAGAAGTTAATTGGTGGATGGTGACTAGCAATAGAATCCAGGATGCGCATTTCGGCCTATTTGGGACTCGTCAATTGGATCTAGCTGTATTCCGCAGTGAGTGATGATGTCCCCACTGAGGCTCGGACGCAGTGCCCATAGCTTCAAACGCCAAAGCGTTATCCACTAGACCACTTGGGCCAAGAGGGCCACCTCTTGTGCAATGGGTCATATTAATTATTTAATTCAACTGGAACTGCCCCATATGTGTGCAAAGTTCTATGTTGAGATCAGTAAGTTAGTCAGCTTTATCTGTATATTCATTTATACTAATTCAGCTCACTTCTATGCTATTTTGTAATATTAAATAGCTTGAAACAGACATCACAGTCACTGACGTCTGATATCGTATTGAGATTGTGGGAATTTCGTTGTAGGGATTTGGATTAATTTTACTGCATATTTCGTCTCAATCCAATATCAGTTAAAGAAATTATCAAAAACCATAGAACACTAGACAGTGGTTTTGTCCCAACTTGTGGCTCTTCAGCAGCATGCTAAATAGTCAACGGAATCAGCCTTGTGACATGAAGGTCCTGAATTCGACCTCCGTTGGGGACGTGAGTGCGTATTGCTGAGGAGTTCTAATCAAGTACGAAACAGTTGTCTGGAGCTCCTTGATTTTGAATATTTCCCTAACTGATGTTGGTTCACGACGAAATCTACACTATCACATTGTATTTACCTACTTTTTATGAGAATTTGAAATACCAAACTTTAAACTGAATAATCAATTTTGTTTATTTGTATTTTAAAGATAACATCTTTAGAATCAGAAGTTAGTCAACTTCAAACAGAAAAAGAACGATTAACAAAAAATTTAAAAGATAGTGTTGAACAAATTATTGAATTAAAAGAACAAGTGGATGCTTACCTCGGCATTGATACAATGGTCAGTCAGTTGACACAACGTAATTTAGAACTGGAAGAAACGCTTGAGAAAATTAAAGAAGAAAGAAATGATCTGGTATGTATACACATGTTGATGTTGATATGCTTAGTAAATCCTTCATATGTATCCCTGCAGATGTTATGATTCCCAAATCTAATAGTATAAATAATGACTGCTTCTCGTGTTTTAACACGAACGATGTCCTTAATTGTCTTCAATCTCTGAAACCTACCCAGTCCCTTGGTCCTGATGGAGTTCCTGCTGTTATCCTTAAGAAGTGTGCTGACATCTTATGTTACCCATTAACCGACATTTTCAACGAATCCTTTTCCCAAAGTATTATTCCGGACTCATGGAAAAATATCTAGGTTGTTCCAGTACCTAAATCAACAAGTGGACCTACTGTTAAGTTTCAACCGATTGCTATTACCTCACCTTTTTTAAAAGTTATGGAAAGACTTATTTTACTTAATCTTGAACCCTCTTTAAAGCCTTTTAATGACCCCAACCAGTTTGCCTATAAACATAGTAGGAGTACCTTAGATGCCGCTGTTGTTCTACATCATAATATAGTCTCTAGTTTAGATAGAGGAGCCAAATATGTTCGGTGTGCCTCCCTTGATTACACATCTGTATTTGACTCTGTTCTTAGGTCTCTTGCTAAGTAGAAAACGGGCTTGAGTATAAACTGCAACTCAGAGATGTAATTGGGTAATTAAAATAAAATAAAATAGAGTAAATGAGAGAAATTCTGATGGAAAGAAAATCGGGTAGCCTAGTTATTTAAGCAGACCATTATTGTTTGCTCTGATTTATTCGTAATATTGGTGCTCTACAATCTTTTATTTACACGGTTTGCGGAAAACTGTAAATAAATCGTTGTTAATGTAACAGGATATTATGAAATATCTTTAATTTCTAGTGTAAATGTAGTTCACACTTTTTTTGTCTCACTTTACCCACTTACCTAACTACCGTTCATTCGTTAGTTAAACTACTATGGAATGGGAATTAGTTGTAGCATTTCTACACTCAATAATGACGAAAGTTTCCTGCA